GGTTATTCTCTTGTACTTGTGTGTTGACATTCAACAGCTGAGTGAGTGAACCATGGTCAGAATTAATACATTTCCAACCAAAAGTGGGAGAAGGTCCAAGAAGATGTTGTTGTTCATTCGTTCAGTCGTCTCCGACTCTTCGTGACCTCATGGACCAGCCCACGCCAGAGCTCCCTGTCAGCCGTCACCACCCCCAGCTCCTTCAAGTCAGTCCAGTCACTTCAAGGATGCCATCCATCCATCTTGCCCTTGGTCGGCCCCTCTTCCTTTTGCCTTCCACTTTCCCCAGCATAATTGTCTTCTCTAGGCTTTGCTGTCTCCTCATGATGTGGCCAAAGTACTTCCACTTTGTCTCTAGTATCCTTCCCTCCAGTGAGCAGCTGGGCTTTATTTCCTGGAGGATGGACTGGTTGGATCTTCTCGCAGTCCAAGGCACTCTCAGAACTTTCCTCCAACACCACAGCTCAAAAGCATCTATCTTCCTTCGCTCAGCCTTCCCTAAGGTCCAGCTCTCACATCCGTAGGTGACTACAGGGAATACCATGGCTTTGACTAGGCGGATCTTTGTTGCCAGTGTGATGTCTCTACTCTTTACTATTTTATCGAGACTGGACATTGCTCTCCTCCCAAGAAGTAAGCGTCTTCTGATTTCCTGGCCACAGTCTGCATCTGCAGTAATCTTTGCGCCTAGAAATACAAAGTCTGTCACAGCCTCCACATTTTCTCCCTCTATTTCCCAGTTGTCAATCATTCTTGTTGCCATAATCTTGGTTTTTTTGACGTTTAGCTGCAACCCAGCTTTTGCGCTTTCTTCTTTCACCTTGATTAGAAGGCTCCTCAGAGGTTTTCCTTAGAGGTTTTCTTCCCATTACAGAAGAGATGTCTATCTTAGGATGGCGCACTGGAAAAACCCAAATTGCAGACAGAAAAATAAGCTTATTATCCTCAACAGGAGGGAAATTTGTAGAACAAAATACATTATCATATGGTAATGCATTGATTGGAATGCATTAACCACAATTCGCAATATCCGAAGCCACCAATTAACTTATCACCCCTCCAAAGCCTTCCATTGTTTTCACTTTCACATGAATACTTAGTAGGCCTGTTTCCCCCTAAATCAGTGTTTCTCAACCTTCCTAATGCCGTGACCCCTTAATACAGTTCCTCATGTTGTGATGACCCCCAATAATAACATTATTTTCATTGCTACTTCATAACTGTAGTTTTGCTACTGTTATGAATCTAAATATCTGATGTGCAGGATGTATTTTCATTCACTGGACCAAATTTGGCACAAAATCCCCAATACGCCAAAATTTGAATACTGGAGGGGTGGGGGGGGGGATTGATTTTGTCATTTGCTGGGATTTATAGTTCAACTACAATTATTTTTGTTGATACTTCATAACTGTACTTTTGCTATTGTTGTGAATCTTCATGTAAATCTCTGATATGCAGGATGTATTTTCATTCACTGAACCAAATTTGACACAAATACCCAATACGCCCAAATTTGAATACTGTTGGGGCGAGGAGAGTTGTCATTTGGGAGTTGTAGTTGCTGGGATTTATTGTTCACCTACAATCAAAGAGCATTCTGAACTCCACCAGTGATGGACTTGATCCAAACTTGGCGCACAGAACTCCCATGACCAACAGAAAATACTGGAAGAGTTTGGTAGGCATTGACCTTGAGTTTTGGAGTTGTAGTTCACCTACATCCAGAGAGTACTGTGGACTCAAACAATAATGGATCTGGACCAGACTTGGCATGAATACGCAATATGCCCAAATGTATACACTGGTGAAGTTTAGGGAAAATAGATCTTTACATTTGGGAGTTGTAATTGTTGGATTTATAGTTCACCTACAATCAAAGAGTATTCTGGATCCCAGCAACGATGGAATTGAACCAAACTTGGCACACAGAACTCCCATGACCGACAGAAAATACTGGAATAGTCCATATACCCAAATGTGAACAGTGGTGGAGTTTGGGGAAAATATTGACATTTTGGAGTTGTAGTTCTGGGATTTATAGTTTACCTACAATCAAAGAGCATTCTGATTCACTCCAATGATAGAATAGGGCCAAACTTCCCCTACAGGACCCTCATGATTTACAGAAAATATTATGTTTTCTGGTGGTCTTTGGTGACCCTTGACACCTCCTCACGACCCTCCCGGGGGTCCCAACCCCCACTGCCCTAAATCCTCTCCAATCATTTGCACCTTTGTTTGCTGAGTAGGACTCACACAGTTGCCATTTGTGAGAACCAGTGTGATATAGTGGCTTGCATGTTGGACTAGTGAATTGAGTCTTGGGCTACAAGCCTAGAAATCAAAGTTCAAACCCCCACTGAGCCATGAAAATCCACTGGGTGACCCTGGGCAAGTCACATTCTCTCAATCCTATAAAACCCTGTGATAGATTCCCCTTTAGGTCACCCCAAATGAGTCCCGAAGGCACACAACCATCCCCATAGATTTCCCACAGTTGGTTTTTGGAAAGCTTCCCAGCCTCCTCTCTCCTCCATCCAACTCTAGCTTCGTTCCCTCCACTCAATGCTGTGCTTGGCAGCAAGATTTGCCTTGCGCCATCTGCATCTCAAATTATCCTTGACTTTTGCAAGAAAAACATAGTGTCTTCTTTCTTTCCTGAAGCCATTCTTTCTTTACATCTGCTGACAACGATGACAGGTATTTCCAGAGCTGGCTTAGGGCTGTGCATTCCCAAGGCGCCTTCTTCGTCTTATGATAATTGTCAATGCATTTCTTGAGGAATGAGAACTTTATGCATTGCATATTTTGTTGTTGTTCATTCGTTCAGTCGTCTCCGACTCTTCGTGACCTCATGGACCAGCCCACGCCAGAGCTCCCTGTCGGCCGTTACCACCCCCAGCTCCCTCAAGGTCAGTCCAGTCACTTCAAGGATGCCATCCATCCATCTTGCCCTTGGTCGGCCCCTCTTCCTTTTGCCTTCCACTTTCCCCAGCATAATTGTCTTCATATAGGGATGGAAATAATACTTTTTAAAATCCCTCAATTCTAATAATTGAAGAACGTGTGGGGGTTTTTTGGAGGAAACACTAAGATAGAGAATCTTTTACGGATGAGAACCTTTGCAATTCAGGAATTATGTGACAAAAATTCATTTGTGGTTTCTGTGTACAGAAAATTGCATTTTTTACACCAAAATTGCTACTACAGGCATAGAAAATGGCATTGTTGCTACAAAAAGTGCATTGTTTCCTGGGCAGAATACTATATGATAGAGATGTTGCTTTTGCTAAACATTGAAAACGGAGGACTTTAGATTTTCTCACAGTGAAAAGAAAAATGCCAGAAATTGCTTCTTGTTTCTCTTGAGAATGAAATTAGCAAAGAATTAGACTTTTATTTGTCTGTAACTGGGTGGAGACCACATTTTGTTCTCTTTAAGGCCTGAACTACACTGTAAATGAAATAAGAAGTATGGAACCTAGCCATATTTCTCTCTCTCTCTCTCTCTCTTTTTACTACATAGGTGCATCTAGAATCAATGCAGTTTCATACCACTTTAACTACCGTGACTCAATGTGATGGCATCCTTGGAGTTGTGATTTGGTGAAGATCCAGCACTCTTTGGCTACAACTTCTAGGATTGCACAACTTTGAGCCCCTGCAGTTAAAGCGATGTCTAACTACATTCAGTCTTTTGTGTAGATGCACTTATGTATTCAATGTGCTGGTTATGATCCATAAAGTCCTCTATGACTTGGGTCCAGGATATCTGAAGGGCTGTTTGATGGACTGATTTTATTGCATATTTATTTATTTATTTACTCCATTTATATATCGCTTTTCTCAGCCCTCAGGCGACTCAAAGCGGTTCACAGTAGCAAAATTCAATGCTTGGACATCATAAAACAAATTAAAACAATTAAAAACCATAGCATCAATATACAAACATTACAAAGCCAAGACTACATAACTCATGATGTCTCTTAGTTAAAATCAAGATCCAATCTCGTCATCTAGTCATTTCATGTTCCAATATTTGTTACACTGTCTTTTCGAATGCCTGCTCAAATAACCAGGTCTTAACCTTCCTACGAAATGCTAACAGAGAAGGGGCCAATATAATATCTCTGGAAAGGGCATTCCATAGCCGAGGGGTCACCACTGAGAAGGCCCTGTCTCTCGTCCCCGCCAAACATATTTGTGATGCAGGCAGATCGAGAACAGGGCCTCCCCAGATGATCTTAACATCCTAGTTGGTTCATTGGAGGAGATACGTTTGGATAGGTAAGTTGGGCCCGAACCGTTTAGGGCTTTATAGGCATATCTCCTTGAGATCCTTAATTATAGAGGAGTATAGGAATCTTTACCTTTAAAAAGTATGTTTGCATTTAATGTTGTCATATAGCTTTTGCTATGTTCCTTATGTAGCATCATATTTTCATTGTTTCTCTTTCATTTACTTATTTTATCCACATATGCTGCCAACTTTGGTTATTTATGCTCAGGTCTGTGCTCCTTAAAGAGTTCAGCAATGATCCCATCAGGTCCGCTGGCTTTGTTATTGTGTGTTGTCTAGAGAAATGTGAAGATGGATGCCATGGACATTCTTTTAAATTATAGAATCAACCAAGCTATTTATTTATTTATTTATTTATTTTACGGCATTTATATGCCGCCCTTCTCATCCCGAAGGGGACCCGGAGCGGCTTACAAGGCATATATACATACAATATATTATATTATTAGCATAGTACAATATCAGTTTTAAATATTGCAGTTCTGGTTAATTGAGATATGCTACTGTATATGTTGTTCAAGAATTTTTTTTAAAGTCCATGTAGTTCAGGTTTCAAGGATTCCTCTGGAAGGTTTTCACTCCTTCTTTGAAATCCCTTTATTGAGAATATATCAGAAGAGAGAAAAATACATAATTTACAAATACAAAACCATCTTATCCAGCTCCGTTTCTTAGCAAAACTTTGTTTGACTTGCAGATTGGGTGCAAGGCAGCGATGGTTTTCTTCCAATACGGCATCATGGCCAACTTCTTTTGGCTCCTGGTCGAAGGCTTGTATCTCCATACGCTTTTGGTGGTTTCCTTCTTTTCAGAGAAGAAGTACTTTTGGTGGTACATCCTGATTGGATGGGGTAAGTCTTCTCTTTCTGGCTTTCTTCTTCTTCTTCTTCACATCTGTAGGTTGAACTTTTGTGGAATTGATTATTTGCAGATTTGATTATTATGCTCTCCTTAGAAATCTCTTAGGATACATCTGCACTGAAGGATGAATGCAGGTTGAGCCCAATTTTACTGCTATATCTCAGTGCAATGAAGTCATGGGAGTTTGGTGAGGTGTCGACACTCTTTGACAGAAAAAGCCCAAGATTGTGTATGTAAACCAAGTAATAAATCAAGCTTTAAAAGGAAATGCATAGGTATATTCCAGGGATGGCCAAATCGAATCTCTCCCTCAGCTCTGTATAGATGTGACTTCTGATACCACTCAAAAATTATATATATATATATATATATATATATAGAGAGAGAGAGAGAGAGAGAGAGAAGAATTTCAGTTAACCAGAACCCATAGGGATTAGTAGATGTCATCATCTACACAAATGACCAGCCACTGCCAGAAGGGACAGAGAGTTTCATCTATGCTGATGATCATGCCATTACCGCTCAAGCAGGGAGCTTTGAGATGGTAGAACAGAAGATTTCTGAAGCTCTAGGTGCTCTTACTGCCTATTACAGGGAAAACCAACTGATCCCTAATCCATCCAAAATGCAGACATGTGCCTATGTGCCTTTCATCTCAAGAACAGAGAAGCGTCGCAAGCTCTGAAGATCACCTGGGAAGGAATCCCACTGGAGCACTGCAGCGCACCCACATACCTGGGAGTCACTCTGGACTGTTCTCTGACCTACAAGAAGCACTGCCTGAACATCAAGCAAAAAGAGGGCGCTAGAAACAATATCATACGAAAGCTGACTGGCACAACCTGGAGATCACAACCAGATACAGTGAAGACATCTGCCCTTGCGCTGTGCTACTCTGCTGCTGAGTACGCATGCCCAGTGTGGAACACATCTCACCACGCTCAAACAGTGGATGTGGCTCTGAATGAGACATGCCGCATTATCACGGGGTGTCTGCGCCCTACACCACTGGAGAAATTACACTGCTTAGCCGGTATTGCACCACCTGACATCCGCCGGGAAGTAGCAGCCAATAGTGAAAGGACCAAGGCAGAGATATCTCCAGCTCATCCCCTGTTTGGGTATCAGCCAGCACGTCAACGACTTAAATCTAGAAATAGTTTTCTAAGATCTACAGATACACTCGCCGGAACACCTCAGCAAGCGAGAGTCCAAAAGTGGCAGGCTCAAACCCAGAACCTCAACCAATGGCGGATACCAAATGAGAGACTCCCTCCTGGGCACACAGAAGACTGGGTGACTTGGAAGGCGCTGAACAGACTGCGCTCTGGCACCACGAGATGCAGAGCCAACCTTCAGAAATGGGGCTACAAAGTGGAATCCACGACATGCGAGTGCGGAGAAGAGGCAAACCACTGACCACCTGCTGCAATGCACCCTGAGCCCTGCCACATGCACCATGGAGGACCTTCTTGCAGCAATACCAGAAGCACTCCAAGTGGCCAGATACTGGTCAAAAGACATTTAATCAACTACCAAACTCACAATTTTCGTATTTTGGCTGGTTTTTTTGCTTTGTTCTGTTAGAAATGTAATATAATCGACTGGTTGCACTGACACGATAAATAAATAAATAGTAGATGTCCGATAGTTTCTGGTGGCTTGAAAATTAATATTTTTTTTAAAAAAAAATAGGTCTATCTAATACCATGCCCCACACTATACCATACATTCTGTATTGGGTTGATATTAAGATTGAAATATTGTAATTAAAAACAAACTAAGCCAAATAAAAGACAAACATAATGCAACACAGTTTTACTGCATTATAAAAGCAGCTCTATGGATGCAACATGCAGTTTTTGTTCAATGGCAGTTAACATTGATTTTCTTTCAATATTTATTCAAAGTAATACTTCTCTGATTTTTGTTGGTGGTTGTTTGAGAGTTCAAGTTGCTTGAGTTCTGGTTAACTGAGATATGTTGTTCAAGATTATTTTTGAAGTCCATGTAGTTCATAAAATCATAGAATCCCAGAGTTGGAAGAGACCTCCTGGGCCATCCAGTCCAACCCCATTCTGCCAAAAAGCAGGAAAATTGCATTCAAAGCACCCCGACAGATGGCCATCCAGCCTCTGTTTAAAAGCCTCCATTGAGGGAGCCTCCACCACACTCCAGGGCAGAGAGTTCCACTGCTGAATGGCTCCCACAGTCAGGAAGTTCTTCCTAATGTTCAGATGGAATCTCCTTTCTTGTAGTTTGAAGTTCAGACTTCAAGGTTTTCTCTGGAAGGTTTTCACACCTTCTTTGAAAGCCCTTCATTGAGAAGAGATCAGAAGAGAGAAAAATACATAACTGCAGATTTGTGCATTTATTAATACCTGATGCACATTACTTATCATTGTTGTGGGAAAATACATCATAAAACTCCCAGAATCCCATAGCATTGAGCCACAGCTGTTAGAGTGGGGTTAAGCTGCATTCAATCCATAACATAGATACAGCTTTGGCTTTGCTCATTGCTTTTTGACAAGGGCTGTTAATCTGATTTGAACACTCATTTTGCAGCATATCATACCTGAAACCAAATCAGTTCATGAGATAGCTCATCCTTTTTTGACAGGGGCCCCAACACTGTTCACTTCCGCCTGGACCGCCACTAAGATCCATGAGGGCGATGTTGGGTAAGTGAGCAAATGTCTCCTAACCTCATGACAGGTTTCAGATTATTTCAGATTGTGTAGGACCAGTGTAAGAATTTCCGAGTCTTCAGCCGAGGGTGAGGAATGCTGGGGCTTGCTGTCCAACAATATATAGGGTATTGACGAAGGCTTTCATGGCTGGAATCACTGGGTTGTTGTAGGTTTTATCGGGCTATATGGCCATGTTCTAGAGGCATTCTCTCCTGACGTTTCGCCTGCATCTATGGCAAGCATCCTCAGAGGTAGTGAGGTGACTACCTCTGAGGATGCTTGCCATAGATGCAGGTGAAACGTCAGGAGAGAATGCCTCTAGACCATGGCCATATAGCCCGAAAAAACCTACAACAACCCAATATATAGGTTATGTTGCAAGTAGGACTTAACTTGTCCTAGTTTCTAAGAGACCGCACAAATTCTGAGGATGCCTGCCATAGATGTGGGTGACACATCAGGAGAGAATGCCCAGAAAACTCACAGCAACCCAACTTATAGGGCAGTGGTTCTCAACCTGTAGGTCCCCAGATGTTTTGGCCTTCAACTCCCAGAAATCCTAACAGCTGGTAAAATGGCTGGGATTTCTGGGAATTGTAGACCAAAACACCTGGGGACACACAGGTTGAGAACCACTGATATAGGGTGATGCACAGTTTTCACTCCTGGTTTAGGAGGACTTTGAAGGCCCATGAAAAAGCCACATGTAAATAATAATCCCTTATAACATTTGGTGTTTTGTATCAAGAGAGAATATTTCACAAAAATGGTTATTTGGATATGATTATTTGGTTCTTGGAGTCCCAAACATTTAAAGGATGGGAGTTTGGGAATCATCAGTGAAGAGGTTTTAGCATCATATACAGCTCCAAAAACCGGGGCTTGAATGCCTTCTCGCCCATGAAACCCGCTGAGTAACGCTGGACAAATCAACTCTCAGCATCAGAGGAATGCAAGGCAAACCCTTCCTGAACCGATCTTATACTGTTGCCTTAGGATTGGCGTAAGTCAGAAGTGACGTGAAGGCACACACAAAACAGCTCTGAGTGACAGTGCGGCATATGTTCTTACGTTCTGGATGCTCAACATTGGCACCATCTTTGGGGACTTCTATAACATAGTAACATACCTAGATGCTTCTTGGTTACCCCTTCTATACACCCTGTTGTCTATTGTGGTTCAAAAGGTGAGTTTGGGGTTGACAAGAGAGATATAGTACTTCCAACTGATTACACAATTTCACTATAAGTCCTCAAATCCAAGACCTTGGCCACTATCTTCTGCTCCATATCAAAACTCAACATTACAACACAAAGTGGTAGCATGTATAAATCAGTATTTGGACAATGCTGTCTTCCTCTGCCATCATTTTAGTAAGTCCACATCTATTACTCTAGAAATAACAAAAAGGATAGAGGTACATCACAAAACAGGTGTAAGGTTGTAAGGTTATGACCATAATGTAATTTTTTTCTTCGTGTCAAAAGCAGCTTGAGAAACTGCAAGTTGCTTCTGGTGTGAAAGATTTGGCCGTCTGCAAGGATGTTGCCCAGGGGACACCAGGATGTTTTGATGTTTTAGCATCCTTAGGGGAGGCTTCTCTCATGTAATTAAATTTCCCTATGTAGCACGATTTCCATTCCTGGGTTATAAATGTCATTTCGTAATTGGTTCTATCATAAAAACACGGGGAAAGTTTATTAAACTGCAAAAACTTTGTTTCTGTGGGAGGGACATCATCCTGCAGCACATTTTGCTCTAGTTGTTTCAATAAATAGCTCATTGAGTCTCAACCAATTCAACCTAGTTTGTAGCAGCCACAAAAACAAATGTTTCTGGAGTATAATAACTGCTTTCGAAATGAACTCTGCACAATTAAACAGGAAATAGCACTTTCAAACCAAGAACAGAAAGTTTTCCAAATTTAATCACATAGTGTTATAAGTCTGTTACTGGGGTTAGAAGACAATCACAAGCTGTTTGTTTGTTTGCTGGCTCTGTACCTTAATCGAATGTTTGGGGTTTTTGCAATCTGAAAGACTGATGTCCTATACTCTGAACCAAAGTTTGCACACATTTGCAGAGCTGGGATTTTTGTAAGTCATATTTTTTCCATCCTCAGAGATTCATCAGACTTTCAATCATGAAAAGGATAAGCTTTTTATATGTGGTTTAATATTTTCATTTCAGTTGCTGGGACTTAATCGAATCTCATTACTGGTGGATCATCAAGACTCCCATTTTGGTTTCTATATTGGTAATGTATCTGTTTTTATCAATAGCAAGCAGAGCCTTGCCTAAAGGTGCCTCTACATCATGCATGGGCAAATTTCAGCCCTTCAGGTGGACTCCAACTCCCACAATTCCTAATAGCCAGTGAGAGTTGAAGTCCAAAACTCTTGGAGAGAGGGCCAAAATTTGTCCATACCTGATACTGTATATGAAAAAAAGGATTTTCTCCATTAAAATGTTGTAATCCTTTAGATTTTTCTGTCTTGAGGCCATAGCATTAGAGAACCATGGAGATTCCCCATTATAAACATGACTCTTCTTCTGACTTGGGTTCCTCCTGACTAATGGAGCCTCTTTGCCGGTCTGGATCCTCGGCGTTGTGCATAGCTATGCACTGTGGGCTTGACATCATCCTACTCGAGATGTTATGTAATGCAAAGTCCCAAGTAGGTTGATGTCCAGCCCAAGATGGCTGCAGCCCTGTCATGCCTTACCTTGCAATCCACTGAACTCTCTCTCTCTCTGTGTGTGTCCTCTCTCTCTCTCTCTCTCTGCCTGTGTCTATGTTTCTTGTTCTTTCATTATGGCAATCCAGAAAAATGCCACCCTTGATGTGTATTACTTCTGAACATCTTCCCTTTTCTGAGTCTGTATGCATAGGTGTTTTACTGCATGCAAAGGGATCTTAAAGCAAAGATTTCCAAACATTTAGAACTGTTGCAACCCAGAGCAGGAACTGAGACCATAAAATAACAATCCACCACACTTGACTGTGGGAAAAAACAATCCCTTTTTATTGATGAAAAATGGTTACAAAATAGAGGAAAATGCAAAGTCAAAAAGCCACTGTGAAATTCAGCAGTCAGGAATATCCATGAACATCCAAAAGCAACACTGTAAGAACCTGGAACCAGTTAGCAAACCACTATCCGTACTTGGAGCACTAGAAGCCTCTTGGGATGTAGGCCATGGGAAACAGGGAAATCTGCCAAGGTAATGCCTCAGTCTAAACGATGCCTGATCTAACGAGACAACCCAGCGAGAGGCACTTAAACTGAAGAAACTGTTTTGTGACATGCCTCCAGGCTTTGAAGCTTGTGCTTCCTTTTCCCTTAATCTGCTTGACCTTTGCAGACTCTGCGATTCACTCCTGTTTTTCCAAATCTGTCCTTTTCTATCCTCATTAAGGAGGCCAGGTGTTAACTCCTCTGGAGAGCTGTCACCGCTTGTCTCTGAAACAGTTTCACTTTCCAAGCCACTGACCTCAGAATCAACATTTTCATTACCATCAGGGAAAAATACATGTTCAGTAGCATCAGGAAATACAATCAGAGAATCAGGTTCAGGTTCACACGCAGGCTGAACCCCAACAAGAACAGCTGGTTAATCACCAACAGCAATCGATCTTTCCCAACCAAAAGGTTGGCCATACGAGCCTGGGTCAGGGTGAGCACCCGACCTTCAGCCTAGCTTACTGTCCACCTAAGCATTTTGAAAACAGCTGTGAATAGAGAAATTAGGCACCCCTTAAGCATGGAGGTGTTTTACAGCACTATAAAAAAGCCAACGATCAAAGAACAGTAAGGAAAGTCTGTGATTTAAAAAGGCTTGTTGTCATAGAGAATGGGTCGACAGCACCTTCCTGTGGCTGGAATTGAGCATAACCTCCAGGAAGCCGAAGTTGGAAAAATGCCGACACATACCTCTATCTGTCTGTCCTGTATGTCTAACGGCATTGAATGTTTGCCGTGTATGTGTTCTATGATCTGCTCTGAATCCCCTTCGGGGTGAGAAGGACGGAATATAAATGCTGTAAATAAATAAATCAATAATGCTGGTGGCACAATTTTTAGACATGCACCATTTTGCAACACACTTATTCAGTTTTACTGTTCAGCAAGTGAGCATACTTATAATATTGTGAGTGTGATTAGGTCCTGCAAGGACATTTCACACTTAGATGTCTTGGGCATCCAGGTTTGTGGAAAAGTCTTGATTCCCTTTTTCCCTTCTGTTTTTTTCTCCCCAACAGATAAATTTTGTTCTCTTTATCCGCATTATCCGGATCCTGGTCCAGAAACTGCACTCTCCCTACGTAGGACGAAATGAAACAAGCCAGTATTCGTAAGTCCAATTTGCTCGAGTGGCTGGTTTTTCTTCATCTGAACCTCCACCTCATCTTTAGCCTTAAAAACTATAGATAGGAGAACTGCTGGTGGCTTGTATGTCATGGGAAGGTGAACTCACTCATGATAGGACTTCATCTCATGTGTGAAGGAAAAATCACATTGCCGTCGCGTTGTATTCCTTTATGTTATAAAACAAAGGGTATAGTTTCTCATTCCCCATCCCATATTGTTGTTTCTCGGCCTGTGTTCTGAAAGCATCCGTTTTGAGATTTATCAAACCCTTTGAAATAGCAAAAAATCAGTGGGTTAAACCCCTGTGCCAGCAGGACTGAAGACCGACAGGTCGCAGGTTCAAATCCGGGGAGAGGCGGATGAGCTCCCTCTATCAGCTCCAGCTCCTCATGCGGGGACATGAGAGAAGCCTCCCACAAGGATGATTAAACATCAAATCATCCAGGCATCCCCTGGGCAACGTCCTTGCAGACGGCCAATTCTCTCACACCAGAAGTGACTTGCAGTTTCTCAGGTCGCTCCTGACACGACCAAAAAAAAAAAAGCAAAAAATCAAAATTTTGCGGGTCTTTGGGTTTGGGAACTTCAAGGTACCAAAGTAAAGATCTCCTGAAGTAGCTCAATCTTGAATGAATACATAAAATTAAAAAATACAGTTCAAGGCAAGGATCAAGAGGCTGGGTTTTTGGAGACTACCAGGGCATCACTGCTTCTTAAAAGGCCCATAGGAACACCAATTTACCCATGTCACCAAATCGATTCAATACCGGCAAATCTGGCCGATCCCATCCTATGTGATTTTTACTCTTTTCTCCCATTTCTAAGCAATTCCTAAGCACAGGAGATCATTTCTGCCATCCTCTTTCCCCCTTGTTTCTTAACATTTTCAAAACATTTCAGTAATGGAGCATGACAGATGCAAAGGGCGGGGATCTCCTTGCGTTGTGTGATGAGCTCTGATTAACTATGATTTCAAAATATTTTAGAAGTGTGTGTGTGTGTTGTATAATATCCTTTGTCTCAACTTTAAAGGAGCTTTCCAAAGTTCTGAACATGATAGCACAGCTCCGAAAAGCTTTGATTAAATCAGCATATGGAAAAATGTCCCCAGTTTGGGTGGCGTCATCATAATGGAAACCAACACTGCGCTCTTAAGAGGGTGTAAGCAATGACCCCAGGCCTCAGCAAGTCCGGCTGCAGACCAGCAATTAGATATTCATTAGCTGTGGACCTTCTGATCCCAGCTTCTGTTCCAAATTGAGAAGCAATGCAGCACTGGTGGGAAAGAGGAAGACAAGGGTCCTTTACTGACCCACAAAGCCATGAATATGGCCACCAGCTGGAGCAAAACGAGAGGAACTGATGAGATGGTGGCTTTGGAAGAGGAGAACTGAAACCCACTGCTCTGAATGTCAGGAGAAAAAGGACACAAAGCACATGTAAAGTCACAGCAATGACAGTTTGTAGGGAAAGAGTAGACAGCATGGACCTCTGTGATGTAGCCATGATTGTGTTCAACAATCCCTGCAGACTTCTCAAACTGCTCTTTTTCTGACCACAAAAAAGAGTGAATTGGCTTTCTCCCAAGACCCTCTAGTGTAGTCCCTAAATGCCTTAATGCTGTCTACTCTTTCCCTACAAACCGTCCTTCCTGTGGCTTTTGGAAGATAGGCCGATCAGCCCTGGTTGGTACTTGGATGGGAAACTGCCAGTGAATTCCAGATGCTATAGGCTATATTTCAGAGGAAGGAACTGATAGAACCACCTCTGAATATTCCTTGCATAAGAAAACCCTAGGAAACCCATGGGGTCACCAATGGATTATTTGAAGGTACATTCATTTAGCCTTTCTGGGGTCCAACATGCCTCCCAAAGGAGCAAAAGGACACAAAGCACATGTAAAGTCAGAGCAAGGATGGTTTGTAGGGAAAGAGTAGACAGCATGGACCTCTATGTTGTTGCCAAGATATGATTGTGTTAAACAGTCCCTGCAGACATCTCAAATTGCTCTTTTTCTGACCACAAAAAAGAGTGATTTGGCTTTCTCCCAAAACTCTCTAACATAGTCCCTAAGTGCCTTGAGGACAACAGATTCCACTTTATTTTGGAAGATAGGCCGGTCAGCCCTGGTTGGTACTTGGATGGTTAGCTGCCAATGAATTCCAGATCCTATAGGCTATATTTCGGAGGAAGGAACTGATAAAACCACTCCTTGCCTAAGAAAACCCTAGGAAACTTATGGGGTCACCAATGGATTCATTTAGCCTTTCTGAGGTTAAACATGCCTCCCAATGGCTTCATGTGCCCTCTAAGAACCTGGTGGACACTTTTCTCCAATTTCTGGGGTTCCCTGGAACATTTTAGGATCAGGATAGACCTTTTAAAAACCCAGTAATTCAGCAATTACATTGAAAGCCAGTATAATGTTGTTGTTTGAGTGTTGGGCTTGAATTCTGAGGACCTGGGTTTGAATCCTTACTTGGCCATTAGGAAGGAGGTGGAAGATAATTGCTCTATGACATTAGATTTGTGCTAGGCTGCTCAGTCAAGTGTTCCATCCATTGATGGTGCTGCAAATAGGTGTAGACTGTACATGTTTGCAGCAGCAGAAAAGCCACCACAGATATCTGATTCCTTACTTGGATGTGGGTTGCACTTTATGACCAGCAAAGACTGCTCTTTCCATAATATAGAATCACAAGTTCTTTTTGATTTTTGTGGAGAAGACCTCTGCATATATATAAAGCAGGTTTTCTGCTTGGTTTCTCTTTTGCAGGTGTGAACAGGTTTTTGCCTTCAATATGCAGTTCTAGAAAGTTTGGTGTCCTGTCCAGGCTTCTAGTCCGGCTGATGTAAAGGGTGAATCCACACTACAGAGTTAATAGCAGTTCAATACTACTCTCAATGTTGTAGTTCCACCCTAGGAAACCATGAGATTCTTGAAGGATCTTTAGCCTTCTCTACTAAAGAGTGCTAGTACCTCACCAAACTACAAATCCCAGCATTCCACAGGCTGGAGCTATGGCATTTAAAGTGGTGCCAAACTTCAATAACCCTGCAGTGTGGATACACTGAAAATTGATAGGTGTACCTCCACACTGCCTTTTGAATTCTTTCTGCTCTGTGGATCCGTTTATCTTTTGCTTTCTTTCTTCTCAGGAGACTTGCAAAATCCACCCTTCTGTTGATCCCGCTCTTTGGCATCCACTACATTGTGTTTGCCTTCTTCCCGGACGCAGTAGAGAAGGAAGTCGTAGGAGTCAAGTTCATCTTTGAGTTGGTCTTGGGGTCTTTTCAGGTAAACCATTTCCTTATACTTCGGCTTACAGCTCAGATTGTATAGTCAGCCTTCCACATTCCCTGAAGTTTCAGGCTCAGGATCCTGTAAAAGTGAGAAAAAAGAATATATATATATATATATATAATGATTCCTGAGAAAACACCTCTGTAGGAATCTCTGAGTCCTCCATTGTGACTCAATGGCCAAAGTCCACTAGAGATTCCTAGAGAATCTCTGTCCTGCAGTACAACTCTGTGGTCAACTTTTGCCAGAAGTTTGCCATGGACCGAAAGAATCCTAGAGAGAACGTATTAATCAAATCCATGAATAATCAAATCCAAAAAAAAGTTACATCCACAAATGTGGGAGGACGACTATATGTATTGCATATGGCGGAAGTGGGAATCATCCAGCTCATGGACTGAATGCATGGAAATTGGAGATGAATTGGCCCAAAAGGCATTGGATAGCTTTCAGATCAATTGAGTGGTGAACCTACTCCAGGCTTTAGGTTTAAAAGAGCTTTTCAAGGGACTGAGCCCTATCCCCAAAATGGATTCCACATCCTCAATAACTCCTCTGAAGTTCAGACTAAAAACCAATATGCATTCACTATCCACTAAAGCATGAATGACAGCTAACTCTAGTAAAAGGGTCCATATTTTAATTTGCTTTGGAAAATAATGTAATACAGTTTTCATGGCTCCCGTTCTCATTCTCTGTGTCTTTCTTCTCTTTTTTAGGGCTTTGTGGTGGCCGTCTTGTACTGCTTCCTCAATGGAGAGGTAAGATGGGGACATCCTTTGATGAAAGTTTTCCCTCTAGGATTGCACACCAATTAAAATTCTTTAGCTGATTAATCATCTGGCTTTTACTTGCTTTGATAACTAATCCATTGATTGAATGCAATTTAACTTGCCCATTAGTTTCTTAAGTACAAAGCGTAGGACTCCAAGTGAGGCACATCAGAACAGTTACAAATGAGACTGTCTCAGATATTCTCAGTGCTTGGGCTGTGTATTGTGAAAAATGGATTGAACTGGAAGGCCCAAGATAGAATCAAAGAGTTGGAAGAGACCTCATGGGCCATCCAGTCCAACCCCCTGCCAAGAAGCAGGAATATTGCATTCAAATCACCCCTGACAGATGGCCATCCAGCCTCTGCTTAAAAGCTTCCAAGAAGGAGCCTCCACCACACTCCGGGGCAGAGAGTTCCACTGCTGAACAGCTCTCACAGTCAGGAAGTTCTTCCTCATGTTCAGATGGAATCTCCTTTCTTGTAGTTTGAAGCCATTGTTTTGCGTCCTAGTCTCCAGGGGAGCAGAAAACAAGCTTGCTCCCTCCTCCCTGTGGCTTCCTCTCACATATTTATACATGGCTATCATGTCTCCTCTCATCCTTCTCTTCTTCAGGCTAAACATGCCCAGCTCCTTAAGCCGCTCCTCATAGGGCTTGTTCTCCAGACCCTTGATCATTTTAGTCGCCCTCCTCTGGACACATTCCAGCTTGTCAATATCTCTCTTGAATTGGTGGTTCCCAGAATTGGACACAATATTCCAGGTGTGGTCTAACCAAAGCAGAATAGAGGGGTAGCTCCTTACTTCCCTAGAGCTAGACACTATGCTCCTATTGATGCAGGCCAAAATCCCATTGGCTTTTTTTGCCGCCACATCACACTGTTGGCTCATGTTTAACTTGTTGTCCACAAGGATGCCAAGATCTTTTTCACACGTACTGAAAGGTCAAACAGTGTATAGGGTTACAACCTGTGTGGGGTGGGGTTGCACTCCCCCTGTAGACATAGGTTTGCAGCTTGGGAATGATTCTGGATTCAGCGCTGAGCCTGGAGATCCAGGTTTCAGCAGTGCCCAGGAAAGCTTTTGCAAAACTTCAAACTTGTGTGCCAGTTGCGCCCGTACCTTGGGAAGTCAGACTTGGCCACGGTGGTCCATGCTCTTGTTACATCTTGCATAGACTACTGCAATGTGCTCTACATGGGGTTGCCTTTGAAGATGGCCCAGAAGCTTCAATTAGTCCCAACAGGTAGCAGCCAGATTTCTAACAGGAGCAGAATGCAGGGAGCATACAATTCTCCTGTTGCGTCAGCTCTACTAGCTGCTGATTTGCTACTGAACCCAATTTAAAGTGCTGGTCTTGGCCTATAAAGCCCTAAGCAGTTCTGGACCAATGTACCTGTCCAAACATATCTCCTCGTATAAGCCTACTAGAACTTTAAGATCATCTGGGGAGGCTCTGCTCTCAGTCCCACCCTCTTCACAAGCTTAATTGGCGGGGACGAGAGACAGAGCCTTCTCAGCGGTGGCCCCTCCATTGTGGAACTCCCTCCCCAGTGACATCAGGCAAGTCTCGTCCCTTCTAGTTTTTAGAAAAAAGTTAAAGACATGGCTTTGCACACAAGTTGTTCAAAGAATGAGTGGCATAATAATAATAATAATAATAATAATAATAATAATAATAATAATAATAATTTATTTATACCCCACCACCATCTCCCCAAGGGGATTCAGGGCAGCTTACATGAGGCCAAGGCCAGCACCGGGACTGTGGCGCAGTTGGCTGAGTGTCAGCTGCATTAAGATCACTTCTGACCAAAAGGTCATGAGTTCAAAGCCAGCCCAGGTCGGAGTGAGCTTCCAACCAATTGTGTAGCTTGCTGTCGACCTTTGCAACCCAAAAGACAGTTGCATCTGTCAAGTAGGAAAATTAGGTACCACCTATGTGTGGGGAGGCCAATTTAACTAATCTACGAGGCCATAAAAGACTCCAGCAAAGCACTCCAGCAAAGCATGCGGGGAATGCGGAAGTACTTCATCAGTGTCGCAGATGGATGATGAAAGCGACAGCTCCCCTGGCGGCCAGAAAAAGTTAAATAGCCTCTGACTGTCTGTCTATATCTGTTGTGTGTCTTTGGCATTGAATGTTTGCCATATATGTGTACACTGTAATCCGCCCTGAGTCCCCTGCGGGGTGAGAAGGGCGGAATAAAAATACTGTAAATAAAGAAAGAAATAAACAGTACAGTAAAGCAATATACAACAAAAAACACAGCAGTAAAATATAAAGAAGATAAAAATAAAATACAAGCACTAATATAATAAACACATAGGTAAAGGTAAAGGTAGTCCCCTGACATTAAGTCCAGTCATGTCTTACTCTGGGGTGTGGTGCTCATCTCCATTCCTAAGCCGAAGAGCCAGCGTTGTCCATAGACACCTCCAAGGTCATGTGGCCGGCATGACTGCATGGAGCGCCGTTACCTTCCCGCCGGAGCGGTACCTATTGATCTACTCACATTTGCATGTTTTCGAACTGCTAGGTTGGCAGAAGCTAGGGCTGACTGCGGAAGCTCACGCCGCTCCCCAGAATCGAACCTGCGACCTTTCAATCAACAAGCTCAGCACCTCAGTGCTTTAACCCACTGCGCCACTGGGGGCTCCCAAAAAAAAAATAAACACATAAAACAATATAAAATTACACTATTTAAACACAGAAAATTGATCACAGTGGTTTGAATATGGATTATGAACAAGGATCTTGGACGAATGGAACTATGCACTTTATATGTTTTAATCTGTTTACTGTTTTAATGTGTTTATTAACTAATTATTAACCATTTTAATGGAGGGGGTATGTTACTGTTTTTACTATTGATTTTACCAGTATTGGAATGCACTTAAATTGCAAATTGCCTTGAGTCCCCTAAGGGGGAGGAAGGCAGGCTATAAATGAAATCAATCAATAAATAATAAATTGGAGTCTCTTCTCTGAATCTAGGATTCTAATGCCTTCTGTCTTGATGTTCTTCCTTAGGTCCAAGCTGAGCTAAAGCGCAAGTGGCGCAGGTGGCACATGGAGAGGTTCCTTGGCTCCGACATGAAGTATCACCACCCGTCTTTGGGCAGCAATGGCACCAACTTCAGTACCCAGATCTCCATGCTCACCAAGTGCAGCCCAAAGACTCGCCGATGTTCCAGTTTCCAAGCCGATTCCTCTCTGGTTTGAGATCTGGAAGCAACTGACTGAAAGACAAGAGAGGTGGGCTGGAAAGCAAGAAATGAGGAACCACCCAAGACTCTGGATTAAGGATGAAAACTCTTGCTGGTCTGATTTTTCCTTTTTAAGAAGAAGGGGGAAACCTTGTTCTTTGATCAATTCAAACAGGGCAATTTACTGGAACGCTGAGACCAAAATAATCAGGACCAGAAGAGATGCATCTGGATGGGTTCTTCATTTTGTTCTTCTGAGGCTGGAGATGTTTGTAAATGTAACTGAGTACATAGTTAAGTTATGCCTGATAGGGAAGAGAGCCTCTTGTTCTTGCATCGGTGGATTTCACACCAAGAGCCAGCTCTGCTTCCAGTGAATGAAGGCTGATGTAAAGGGATGCATTGTTTTGTGACCAAAGCCTTTGGGAGAAAAGACTGATGAGAAATTGGTGGTGAAAAATGGCTCTGTACCAGTAGCACCCTGAGAAACACATCTTCCCTCCAGGTAGACCTTCAGAATCTAGAGTCATCTCAACTCCAGAGCCCAATATCCTGCTTCAAAAGCAGGTTTTTGAAGCATTTGTTGTGTCCCAAGAGGTGATTCCGAAATGTAGACCCCTGGACTGTTGAAACCAGATGCAATGGGATCATCAAGCTTGGTGTCATTTGTTCTGGCCTTCAGCAACTCTCAGGTCACTTGGTACTTGACTTGGAGCATTGTTACTGGAGACATCAAGGGCTGGTTTTGTGCATGCATAGCATGTGTTCTGCCATTGACTCACAGCACCTTCCCAACAAGGATGTGGGACTTCTGGACTTGCATGCTGCTTTTGAACCAGCTACACTGTGGGCTACTAAGTCAACAGGAATCCCTCACATTGACTGATGAGGTCAATCATATGTCCAGGCAAGCTGCTCCTGGGAGAAAAAAATGGTCTTCTTGGTTGGACAACCTGGGAGGGAAGATGTTTCTAAAGATAGAGGTTGGACTTCCATGACAGAGTTGAGGTTGACTTCTTCAGAGGACCTACTGTGCTGGAGAAACTGCAGATGTGACCAGGGCCTGTATTGGACTCAACTGTAATAGGCTCAAGATCCAGAAGAGAAATGATTAACACACGAAGCAAAGTCTGTGAGCAGTCTGAACTTCAAGCAGAGAGTCAAGATCAGAAGGCCATATGTGCAATCTGTGGGATTGGTTGATTCTTACAGAATGTCCTATTCCCAAATAAATATCCCCTTACCCATCTGGAGATGTTACATATCCAGAAAACGTTTGGGTATCTGATGACAGACCATACATCTGAGCACCTGAAGGTCTACTAGATCCCACACTCCAGTGCAGAACGAGGGCTACCAACCTCATGATAGGGAATTGACTGCTCTCTCCTCCAAGGACTTGGGATCTCTCTGCCCTGGTTTGTAGGTCATGAACATGATGTTCCTCCTTGATAGTTGATTGGGACATCTCTATGTCATCCTGTGATAGGGAGTTTTCTAGTAATGTCATGACACTGTTGACCACCAACCAGCTTGGTTGGGAAGCTGAAGAAAATTCAATTCCTCATTCTAGGCATCGGATTGAGTATCAAGGTTTCCAAGATCCACATCCATCTACTACTAACAGATTCTGTTGAATTATATTTTCTCTGTTTTCCTACTGGAGGAAATATTGCAACCCCATCAAGTATAATCATAGAATCATAGAATCAAAGAGTTGGAAGAGACCTCATGGGCCATCCAGTCCAACTCCCTGCCAAGAAGCAGGACTACTGCATTCAAATCACCCCTGACAGATGGCCATCCAGCCTCTGTTTAAAAGCTTCCAAAGAAGGAGCCTCCACCACACTCCGCGGCAGAGAGTTCCACTGCTGAACGACTCTGATTGTGGGAAGTAAAACAAAGCAAAAACAAAAAGAGAGGGAGACTTGTACACTTGAACTTCTACGTTAATTCTGCCATTACAAGAGCCTGTTGAAATGGTTGAAATGGAAAACCCAACATATCCTGCCCTGGATTGCCTTCATTGGAAGTGGCCCCATTCTTTGCGCCATCGTCTTGTAGATATTCCTGATGTTTGCAGGACTTATGCTTCGACAGCAGGGCTGACTGAATTGCTGTGGGACACCTCACTTTCCAGAGGCAGCTTTTCTTTTGGTGTGACGGTTCTTGAGATCTCCTGCCATTTTTTAATGACCTTTAACCCTGTGTTATTTATTCAACCACATTTAGAATTGTAAATATTGACTCCGTCCTTTTCCAAGGGTTCATCTCAAAAGAATGTTATGTTCGCTTGTTTGTTTCATTGGTTGAAAATAATAGAGTGGGGTCGAGGGAGCAAGGAATGCTTCTTTCATTTGCGGAAAGCAAATAATAAACGGGTCTGGAAAGAGGCGGTGTCCAAACTCTGCTTTTCTCCCCTGAATCAAGCTCCCATTGTACTAAATAATTTGTGTGCTAAGTACCTGCTTGCCTAGGTACTTGACATAATGCTGTTGCAAGGTTTCTTCCTCAATTCCTCACAACGTCCATCTGTTTAAATATGGGGGGGAAATTGCCTTTTGAGAATGAGGAGCAAGGAATGCTGAGAGTAAATGTTGCATCTTCGCTACACACTCCACTAGGCTTGTGCAGTCTGAGTAAACCACAATCCGTTTCAGTGTCCCAGTTTTCGGTCAGGGCCCTGATCTGTTTTTCGGGAGCCTCCCGAATTCAGGAGGGAAAATATCTGTTTTTAGTCTGGGGTGCTGAAAGATTCATTTTCTATCCAGCCCATTATGGGGGTGGGGGGGGGGAAGCTTCCCAGGTTCCCTTCCCATCATTTTAGGTGTTTCAGCTGTTTCTACTCTAGAGGAGAGACATTGCACACTTTCTCTCTGAGGCTTGAGCACACCACGTATTCTTTCCAAGGCCATTAAAGGAGGCTTCTTAAAGCTGTTTCTACTCTAGAAGAGAGGCACTGCAGGCAGGTATGTGCATTTTTAAGGAGGCTTCTTACCACTTTCTACTCTAGAGGAGAGGTGCTGCAGACAGATGCACACCCCTTAAGGAGACTTTAAAGCTGTTTCTACTCTAGAGGAGAGGTTCTGCAGGCAGGCATGTGCATTTTTAAGGAGGCTTCTTACCACTTTCTACTCTAGAGGTGCTGCAGACAGATGCACACTCCTTAAGGAGACTTTAAAGCTTTTTTCTACTCTAGAGGAGAGGTGCTGCAGGCAGGCATGCATGGTTTCTCTCCCAGGCCTGCACCATGCCACGCACGCTTTTGAAGGCATTTGTTAGGGATTCCTCTTCTTCAGGAGAGGAAGGGGAGCAGGGAAGTGCTCAGGAATTGGAGGAGGAATCAGATGATGAGGGTTTGCAAGTTCCCACATTTCTGGAGAGGTGAAAGGAGACAGAACACAGACGGCTTTCAGCTAAAATAGCTGCTAGAAACGCTGAGCTAATTGGGAGACACCCTAGCACCTCCTATGTGGGGAATTCAGGGCTATAAATCAGAAGCAGCAACTTTTGCTGGTAACAACGACTCTGATGCTGATGTTTTTACTCCAATGGAACCTGCTTCAAATCTGCTTCTGAGGATTTAGTTCATTGCCTGTTGTCTGATGTAAGACTGCTGTTTCTTTTCATCTTTTGGGACTTTATAAGAGACTTTAATTTTGTGTCTGCATTAAGACTTCCTTGCTTTCATTTGCATTTTTCAACTGTCTTTGATGTTCCCTTATGTTTGCTGAAGTAAAGCATTTTTCTTTTATTTTTAACATTTTATTAAGGCTGTTTTTGAAGGGCAAATCAAGACAGCATTTTAAGGAGGCTTTCCCACTTCCAGGTAAGGAAGAGCGATCACCTCCTGGAGCTATCCTCCCTGGGCTTCCTTGAAAAACCCTCTTTTTCCTGGGACACTTCGGTCTCCTTTCTGCTTTGGGTGTAATGCTTATTTACAGGTGTTTCTACTCTCTACTCTAGAGGAGAGGTAACTGGTAATACTTTTCAGGGAATTCGGATTTTCTTTTTGTTTTCTGGGATTAAAAAAAAGATTTAACTGTGATGCCAAAAAGCAAAGGAGGAGTCGAGATCAGCTGCCACTTATTTTTTTGCTGTGGATGAGTTTTTGTACCAGAAGGGTCCTTACCATTATGGGCTCCCGAAGGTACTGAAAAAAAACAGATCCATGCACAAGTCTACACTCCACTATTGGTTTATACCACTTCAATTATGACAGCTCCATCTTGTGAATTCTTGGGCTTTGTAGTTCCATGAGCTTCTTAAGACTGCTGCTATAATCCACTCACTTGAACTACAGTTCCCAAGAGGACTGAGAAGGAAGCTGCTATTCCACAGAAGTTGTATGATTGCCAATACCAGATGCATTATTATTATCACACCCCTCTTAATTTGCACAATTATGCTAATTTGCCAATCTGTGGTCCAGTATTTGCATCTGCCTCCCTCGTGTGATCCCGCCTTCTTGCACTGCTCCATATTTTTTTTTTTTATTTTGAAAAGCAACCTTGCAGTTCTAGGAATTAAGGCAAATATTACTATAAAAAGTACAATAAACAGTTTGGGAATAGTGAGGAGGAGTAGGAAAGAAATGTCACTTTACTGCTGGGATGCCAGCACTGAAGTGGAACAAGCCCAAGGAAGATGGAATCATAGAATCCTAGAGTTGGAAGAGACCTCGTGAGCCATTTGGTCCAACCCCATTCTGCCAAGAAGCAGGAAAATTGCATTTAAAGCACCCCTGACAGATGGCCATCAAGCCTCTGCTTAAAAGCCTCCAAAGCCTCCACCACACTCTGGGGCAGAGAGTTCCACTGCTGAACAGCTCTCCCAGTTAGGAAGTTCTTCCTAATGTTCAGATGGAATCTACTTTCCTGTAGCTTTTTAAATATTCTTTATTAGAAGTTTTTGAAACAAACAATTAAAATAGATTTGGGTAGAACTCATAGGTAAGAGGGGGAAGATGGGCAAGGGGAAAAAGAAGGGGAGGAGAATCATTTCCAAAAGCTTGCTGGAAACACCGGGTCTTCAGATCCTTGCAGAAGGAGGTTAGTGACAGGGCTTGTCTTAACTCTCTGGGGAAGGCGTTCCAAAGGCAGGGGCCACCACCGAGAAGGCTTTCTCCAGAGAGTTAAGAGAATTAAATTCCACTGCTAAACAGCTCTCACAGTCAGGAAGTTCTTCCTCATGTTCAGGTGGAATCTCCTTTCCTGCAGTTCAGTGGTTCTCAACCTTCCTAATGCCGTGACCCCTGAATACAGTCCCTCGTGTTGTGGTGACCCCCAACCATAACATTGTTTTTGTTGCTACTTCATAACAGTCATTTTACTACTGTTATAATCATAATGTAAATATTAGATATGCAAGATTCACTGGACCAAACTGGGCACAAATACCCAATGCACCCACATGTAAATGCTAGTGGGGTTGGGGGAGGATTGATTTTGTAATTTGGGAGTTGTAGTTGCTGGGATTTATAGTTCACCTATAATCAAAGAGCATTCTGAACTCCACCAGCGATGGATTTGAACCTAATTTGCCACACAGAACTCCCATGACCAACGGAAAACACTGGAAGGGTTTGGTGGGTATTGACCTTGAGTTTGGGAGTTGCAGTTCACCTGTATCCAGAGAGCACTGTGGACTCACGCAATGGTGGATCTGAACCAAACTTGGCACAAATACTCAATATGTGCAAATGAACACTGGTGGAGCCTGGGGAAAATAGACTTTGATTTTTGGGAGTTGTAGTTGCTGGGATTTATAGTTCATTACAATCAAAGAACATTCTGAACTCCACCAACGATAAAATTGGCTCAAACTTCCTATATGGAATCCCCATGACCATCAGAAAATACTGTGTTTTCTGATGGTCTTTGGCGACCCCTCTGACACCCCTTCGTGACCCCCTCAGGGGTCCCGACCCCCAGGTTGAGAAACACTGCTGTAGTTTGAAGCCATTGTTCCATTGCGTCCTAGTCTCCAGAGCAGCAGAAAACAAGCCTGCTCCCTCCTCCCTATGACTTCCCCTCTAGGCCTGGGTAACAACGTAAAAAATTGTTTCTAAAATCGATTTGTATTTGGGGGTTTTTTTTGTTTCGATATTTAAAATAATTACAAAATTTTCCTTTTTAAAAGTTCGATATTTACGAAATTTCGTAAATAGTAAACCATTAACGAATCGATTTCCGAAACAATAATGAATCGATTCGTTAATGGCGGATGCGACCGCGAAATACGCTAAAAAACCTCCAAAACCTTCTGAAGCTTCCCTCTCCCTCTGTTGTTGACTGTTGGTGTGATATTATAATTTTGTTTCACTAATTAAACCATAAAACTGGCCCAGACATGCGAAAATAATAACGAAACGACCTCAAAACAATAACGAAACGAATACAATATCGAAATACGAAGCATTTACAAAACGTTTTTGAAAATTCGTTTTTTTTAAATAATTGCTCCAGAATGGTTCGTTATCGTTTTGTAATTGAAAAAATTAACGAATTATTAACAAATTACAAATTAACGAAACCGCCCAGCCCTATTCCCCTCACATATTTATACATGGCTATCATGCCTCCTCTCAGCTTTCTCTTCCGAAGGCGAAACATGCCCAGCTCTTTCAGCCGCTCCTCATAGGGCTTGTTCTCCAGACCCTTGATTATTTTAGTTGCCCTCCTCTGGACACATTCCAGCTTGTCAACATCTCCCTTCAATTGTGGTGCCCAGAATTTGACACAGTATTCCAGATGCGGTCTAACCAAGGCAGAATCGAGGGGTAGCATGATTTCCCTGAATCTAGACACTAGACTCCTATTGATGCAGGCCAAAATCCCACTGGCTTTTTTAGCTGCTGCATGACATTGTTGGCTCATGTTTAGCTTGTTGTCCATGAGGACTCAAAGACCTTTTTCACACATAGATGTGAGTTACTGATGGGTTTTGCCCATCAATGCCGCAGGATGGTTTAATGACAGGGAGGAGGTAGACTGGCTATACAATGAACATAACATTGTGTAGGTTCTTGTGGGGTTTTTTTGGGCTATAGGGCCATGTTCTAGAGGCATTTCTCCTGACGTTTCGCCTGCATCTATGGCAAGCATCCTCAGAGGTATAAACCTCACTACCTCTGAGGATGCTTGCCATAGATGCAGGCGAAACGTCAGGAGAAATGCCTCTAGAACATGGCTCTATAGCCCGAAAAAACCCACAAGAACCTACTAAATAAATACTGTTTGCAAATTTTATCCAACTGGATGTTCTTAATCCCATTACCTGTATAATAGTGTAATAAGGGTCTTTGGACCATAATAAAATGTTGTTGTTATTGTTGACCTTCAGGTCTGCAGTCCAGCCAGCACATGGGTTTGACCATTCAACCACTACGGCT